CATCCTTTGTTTTTACTTCCTTGTGGACTCATATAAATAAAGTTGAGAATATTAGTTGAGGTAAATACCATTTACGTACATATTTACCTCCTAGGCTCCTGAGAGTTGCCATTCACTAGAAAGTTCATAAATCAGAGAAATCGCACATTTCCTAAAATATACTAACAATCTCTTTCGCAAACCAAAAATTGTATACTGCCTAGATTTCCAAATTAAAGCATGCTGAGCCAAAACCGAAGGCACAATTCCCATAGAACTACCAGAACAATATTATACAGATTTCCAAAAGGTTATTCTATTTCAAGATCATGTCAATAGACTCATTTTGAACTTTTAGTGCTTACCATAGACAACTTTACTACTTTCTCTTTTTCACATCTAAGTGGATGATAACACTAGGTAATATGTATATAGTTACAGACATTGTGATAAGTAACTTTAAAATGCAGGTAACATTATTATCTCCATGAGACAACTAAAGGACAAAGAAGTTAAGAAATATTTTCAGCCAACCAGCCAGAAGAGTAGAAGTGGGATTCAAGCCCAGATCTTTCTCACTCCCACAAGAACACTTTCACCATTTGCGCATACCACCATATTTATCCTGTCTAAAGGCTCAAAAGCATTATTTGAACTCTTTAGGAAACACCACTGGTATTTTTTATGTTGGAAACTCTAGAAATTTAACTTTCTATCTATAAAGTGAGCTTAAATGATAATCAGTTAACTGAAATATTAATGTACCATGTACCTCAATTCAGGTAGGGAAAAAAAGTTTTTGAACTTCCTTCTTGGCTCCCACCTTTACTAGATAAACAAAGCCCTTCTTTCTTTCTATTCATCTGTAACTTTCTTTCCAATCTTCTCACTGGATTACCATTAAACTCCTGAATTATGTTGCCTCCCCAGGTCTCTAATAAAGCTGTATTATGTAATAGCTATGTAAACATATACTGTAGTAGATGTTGGAAATTATTTAGAGAAAAAGAGAGACACTGGAAAATAATTTCATTCTGCCTTCTCTTGTTTAATTAATTAAGTTAAATTAAATTATTAGGTTTAACTTAGTATTGCACTACCCAATATTATTAAATAAAAGCAACAATTCGTAAATGTTAAAAAAAAAGTTAAATTAAATTAATTAGTTAAAGTACATTGTTAGTGTGACTGACTTTGCTAAAACTATTATACTTAGAGTTCTTTGAGATTCATGCTTAAATTCATGCATGCTTAAACTAAAGTAGTACACTATATTTTGGTCACTCTGAGTATTTACAACAATTTTTCCAACATATACTGTGAAAAGGAATAATAGTCTACATTTCAACATGCTAGGGAAAGCACTAAGACAAACATTTTCAGCTTCTGGAAAAAAAATATTAATTACATTATCTGTTCATGGAAGGGCATTACTCAGAAAGAAATTTAGGAGAATCAGAGTTTAATCTGTTAACCATGCATGTAAGTTGAATCTCTAAGATAATAAACTCAGGACATTTATCAGTAGAAGACTAAGGGTAAAAAGCATCTAGGTGCTTACTTCCAAATCAGGTTTCATTAATTACATTGAAAATATATTTGGCTTTTAAGTTCATGTATATTTTTCTGAACTCAATGAAAGCATTTATTAGATGTTTGGTTATATTAATTTTATATTTCTAACAAGAATTATAGAACTTTTACACCAGTATGATTAAAAAATTAGTCAAATTTAGATGTATCATAAATACATTGTTTTATAAATAAATTGATATAATTAAAATCAGTGGACTCCAAAGCATGGACTGCAGGAATAATAACTGTGTGCCAACAACTTGAAATGATTGAGTGTGGGTCCCACTGTTCAACTGTATATAATTAGGAAATTTAAGCCAATTAGACCAGAGTACCCATTTCACACATTGTGATTCTGAAAGGAAAATATAATTTCTGAGATGCAGGTATTAAAGCCTTATTTTTTTTCTGGGTTTTTTTAATAGTTTTATTGATATATAATTGACATAGAATGTATTTGTTTAAGGTTTACAGCAACATAATTTGATACATGTATACGAGTATATTGTGAAAAGATTACCACAATAAGTTTAGTTAACATCCATCACTTCACATAGTTTTTAAAAAAGTTATTTTTGAGATGAGAACTTTAATACCCACTCTCTTAGCAATTTTCAAATATACAATGCAATATTGTTAACTACAGTCACCATGTTGTACGTTACATCTTTATGACTTACTTATCGTATAACTGCAAGTTTCCACCTTCTGATCACCTTTATCCATTTTCTGTACCCCACATACCCTGCCTCTGGCAACTACCAATTTGTGCTTGGTTCTTTAGATTCCACATATGTGTTTGTCTTTCTCTGTCAAACTTACTTAATATAATTCCTTCAAGTTGTATCCATATTATAACAGGATTTTGTTCCTTTCATGGCTGAATAATATTTCATATTATATGAATATACACACCACATTTTCTTCATCTATTCATCAGTTGATGGACACAGGTTGTTTTCATGTCTTTAAAGCCTTAGGTTTTCTATTAGCTAATATTTTCTGTTAGTGATTTCTATTATATCTAGTAAGCTTTTTATTTAAGAATAGCTGTTTTTTATACATATATACTGCTAAAAACATAATGCTTTTTGTCTAATTTATTGTACATTAAAATTGGAGGTAGCATGAGAAAGAGAATATCATTTCTTTGTATTGAGTTAAATATGTGATATCTTCACTTGAAAAGAAATTAGCAGCAATGGAAAAACCTCAAAAACTGATTTCAAATAATAAAAGGAATTTTATGCAGTCTAGGTCATTTATGTATAATCAACATAGAAATTACCCACAGAAACAAATCAAATCATAGAAAGTTTTATTTCACTTTCTCATTTACTTCAAAGAGGAAATTTTCATCAAATTTTTCACCAATTTCTTTTTAATTTTTTTACTCAAAAAATTAACACTTTTGAAAAATCTAAATATGTTTTCTAAAAAAATAAAAGCATTAATGAACTGTGGAACAATATTACCAAGCTTCAGATGAAAAGTTTCAACATCAAATAGTCACTTGTATTTCATTCTATTCACCTGTGAAGTGAGCTTCAAGAGATGCCCACCAGAGAGCCTACAGGCTACTCTACAACTCTGATCTGGAGTTTCCAAACGTCCTGTCTTCAGGTGATGTTTGAGGGCTTAAAAAAATAAGAATGGATTGCCAATGCCTAGTCTTTCCACAAAACTCACAATCCAAAATTCAGGATGGTGTCCTCAAAGAAGAGATTCAAAGTCCTAAATTTAAGATATAAACTTAACCATTTCAATGTAATAGACAAAGGAGGTGGTTCTGATAGACATTACCTGTAACGTTATTTGGCTGTTAGTTGTCAGAGATTAATGTGAACCTGGTTGGGGGGAAAGGATGCAGAGTATTTTTTTTAAACAAACAAATGGTACTAAGAGAAACCATAATGCCATAATATTTATTAACAAATAACTTCCACTATTTATTTGACCATTCATTAATGCTCACAATATTCCGAACTCAGATTAGCCACCGAGGGAATATTTGGAACCTTATATCTTTACCCTTTTACACATACATTTAAATGAGCTCCCCTCCTTTGTGCCTTACTCGTAGCATCCACTGGATTTAGAATTAGCCCTATATAGCACTGGTTTTGGGACATGGTGTCAAGGCACAATGATATGTCACAGGTTGTTATATGTAGCAAAAACTATTATTATTACCAAAAATCATATTATTTGCTTGTGTTCATATAAATAGGACATTCACAGTTATTGTTATAGACAACACCATCAATTTTTTTCTCATTTGAATTCCTTTGGATTTCCTGAAAGACAAATGGGGTATCCAATTCCAATTCTAAGGGAATTTATGAGCGTGAACTCCACACACGTGTAACCTTTAGTATAGATGTAACTGTGAAAAAATATTGGTGGCTGCTGCTGTGCATACCCTTCTGCATGGGCATGAGCAAGCGGAGAAATCTTGTTCATGAAGGAGAGTGCCCAAGGACGCTGCAGTTTGGACCTTAGCAAATAAAGTTTATTTATTTCAGTGGAGCCAATTATATATTCACAGTTTTCTCTTCTACCTCCCTAGCCTAAGGAGGATTTTTTTTTCCTTTCTAGTAGAGTATGAATTCTGCATAAGTTTTTCTGATCTATAAAATGCTGTGTGAATATCAACCAGTAATTAATAGTCTTTCAAAGAGATAGGTAATACATGGGAGTGAATTTATTGTTTATGAGTATCAATGTTGTTTAAAAACTATATTCTGAGACATAAATCCAACACTGAAGTGTAAAATTGCTAATACAGGCTCATAGCCTGGAAAATGATTTCTTTTAATAGTTTCTTTCATTTAACAGTTCTTCATTCGAAAACGCTTCCTTTCAACTGCAGGTTTTTGTGGTTTGGTGCAGTGAAGGGGAAATTTATTCCTTTGACATATTTATTCTTTTAATATTTATTTGAAAAAGTTTCACCGGGTGCTTATATACTTTGCAGTTTGCAGAAAGACTCATTCTTAGTTATTTTTTAAATGCTTATTTATTTAAATAAGTTTTCATCCCATGGAAATATCGCTAAGATTTCTTTAGAGTTCTTTAGGGGCTTCTCTTAAGGCAGTGATGCTAATGTCAACCAGGATTTCTCAGGGAGTCTGCAAGCACTGAAACCACATGAAAGAATCATATCACTAGAAAGAAGGAGAAAATTTTGTAGGACAAAATCTAACAAACCATTAGTAGATGTCCACAGTGTTCATTATAATTTAGACTTTAATGCTGCACAGCATTTATAGGAGGAATAGTTTGGGGATGCAATATGTGGACATGAAAAATATATTATCACTCATAGATTTGAAAGAGTATCTGTCACAAACGTCTTGTTTTAATACTGAATATCACCACTCTAAATTCAAACACTTAAGTCACACATCTATTTATTATTCACCCCTGCCCATTTTTATCCACAGTTCCAAAGATAGCACCCACCAATGTAAGTGGAAGAAGCGGACGAAGACACGAGCTAGTCATTGCCTGGGAGGTAAGAATGCCTATACTCAGATGTCAGAACTTGTTGATTCCCTAGGAAATAAAGCTACATATCTAGTCTCTGTAGTTGGTACAAAGAGGCTGAGTAATATCTCTTTAACTTAGTGAAGAGACTTTTTGAGCATGCCTTACTCAGATAGATAGTGTCCTTTCTCATTTTCGTGCTATGCCCCTGTTGACTTTTCTCCAAGTCTATGGAATGCCTTCCTGTCACATAGGCTATCTGTCACATAGGTTGTCTCATAATAAAGTTGGAATAATTAAAACTCATCCCCTCCTATATTACTTCATCTGTTTGTTTGATTTAGCTTAATATTTATTTATTTCACAATTAAGTAGTACCCTTGATTTATTTGGGTACTAAAACCATTGAAGAGGTAAGAATTGACCACCACTGAATTTGTGAATTTGTGACATGGTACCTTGGTTATCTTATTTATCTCATGCAACAACTATATTAGCAGGTAAATTTTCCATGTATTAAAAATTATGAAACTGAGGCAGAGTTTAACATCCTTCTCTGAAAAGCCATGGAACTGGGACTTCAATTATAAAATGTACATTCTTTTTTCCTCCCTCACCAAATGATCTCAAAAATTCCTTGTCAAAAGAAAGAAGTGTGAGAGATACATTTATTTTTCATGAAGGCACTTTCTTTTTTATGATAAATTACCTTATTATTTGATATAGCTATGTAGCTCATAAAACTATGCCTTAGAATATGGAAATGGAATTTAAATGAATATGTCTACTGGAAAAAACTAAACAAATTCCTGACAGTCTCTGAGAACAATGATACAATGTATGAAAAAACTTCTTTTCCCAATAAAAAATTTCCCATGAGCACATCTTCTGTGCTATTCTTAATGTTTGTTCCCCTCTTCCTCAGTAAAACATTTTGTTTTGTTTCTGATTTCCACAGAGGTACTCCCCAGCACCTGAACTTCTCTGAGATTGAATCTGTCTAAATGGAATTGTCTTCCCTGTATCAGTTTTGTGTCCAAGTCAGCTCAGTCTGCTATAACAAAAATTACATAGACTGGGTGGCTTATAAATGACAAAAATACGTTTCTCCCCATTCTGGCAGCTGGAAGTCCACAGTCAAGGCACCAGCAAGTTGAGGTCTGGTGAGGGCCTGATTCCTTGTTCACAGACAGTCCTCACATTAGCAGAGCAAGAGCTCTCATGTCTCTTTGATAAGAGACTAATCCCATTCATGAGGCCTCTTTCTTCATAACCAAATCACCCCCAAAAAGGCCTATCTTATAATAGTGTCACATTGGTGGTTAGGATTTCATCACATAAATTTGGGGGGGGGTGGGATATAAAATTCAGCCTATAATTCTTTGATTTAATAGTCTTTGTCTCTTACTCCACTCAATACACAATTTTTCCTCAAATCAAAATTCAAAAGAAAAAATTTTTAGCAAATATGTATTGAGAATCTACAATGTGTCGAGCATTGTGCTGGGCTCGTAACTGCCCCATTGACTTGCTAGTTAACAACAATTACTCCTCTTTATGTTGTGCCATTGATGCCCATTTAACAAATTTAAATGTAAGCAGTATAGTACAGGAAGATTCTGGAACAAATATTATATTCCATTTTTTCATGTTATAAAAGCACAAAAGCAATTTAAAAAACAGTAGAAGAAATATCTTACATTAGTGTCTCCTAGATTTTCTGTATAAGGGGCTCCACAGAGCATTGCCAGTGACAAGGTTTTCCTGACCACCAGCCCATACGACACTTTTCCCCAGCATGTGAAATTCTAGTGTGGCGTCCAAGGACCTTCATTTCTATGCTGGACTAATTGGAACAAAGTTGTTTCACTTCAGGAGTTTTCAGAACTCTTGGTACTTCCCTTAAATACCAATAATATCATTTAATTTTTCATCCTTTACCTTTAAAACCTTTCAAATTTCCAATGTCTGCCAAGTGATTATGCTATGCTGGCTTTTAATGTAGTATAAAGATTTAAGTCCCCTTTTCTCTAGTTATCCATAATCTTTTAAAATTTAAGGTTTTGGAAGAAGTGAGTTTTAATCCATTATTTTGCTGGTAATTAATCGTATTTTTCTCCTTTAGCCAGTATCTGAAGAGTTTCAGAACGGGGAAGGCTTCGGCTATATTGTGGCTTTCAGACCCAATGGAACGCGTGGCTGGAAAGAGAAAATGGTGACATCTTCAGACGCTTCAAAATTCATTTATCGAGATGAAAGTGTCCCTCCTCTTACACCCTTTGAAGTTAAAGTTGGCGTTTATAATAATAAAGGTGATGGACCTTTCAGTCAAATTGTGGTCATATGTTCAGCTGAAGGAGGTCAGTTTCTTTCTTATTTTTCCTTACTACTTTTATTCAAAATATTTAAGTATTTTATTTTGTTATATGAATGAAACATTATTGTACAAATATTGGAAAAAACACAGTTACAACAAAAGGAAAATAAAACTCACCTACAATCCCACTATACTTTATATATACATTTTTCAGATTTTTTCCAAATTATTTTTATTAAAAAAAATTTATCTCCCCATATATGTTGCTTCATGATCTTCACTCCCTAATGCTATATAGCAAATATCTTTCCATGACAATAACAATATTAGTAGTGGTTGTAGTGTATTCAATCTGGAGATGGACATTTAACCAATTTTTTTTGGTTTGAAATTTAAATAACTTTGTATTTTACCCCATTAAATTTATATGAAATAAATTTAAATGAAGATTCCATTAAGTGACCAATAAATATTTATTATTAACCTCACACACATAACATTGTACTAATAAAGGACTTTTAGACAAAACTTTCTGTTCGAAGCTTTTCACATTTGGCATCTTTCAATCCCCTTGATATTGTTACCTAAAAGGCATTGTTATCCTCTTTGCAGAGAAAGAGAAATTAAAGTTCAGGTAAGTTAAAAGTCACACAGCTTGTAACTGAGAATAAAAGCAGGCCTATGTAATCATTAAATCCTTGATATTTCTGTAGCACACTCCCTTCATATGCATAAGCTTATGTAATTCTCAATATAAAACTACTAGTAAGAGGACCGAATAGGCAGTATACCCATCACTCGGAGTCTTACATCAAAATCCTGGGTTCTGTTAAGTTTTAAAACAAAAATCCAATTTTCTGAGTGTGAGAAAGCATTAGAGCTCTTACCCCTAAAATTAGCTTTTCTTCTTAATCCTTTTATTCAAGGGCAAAATTTCAGTGGGCTTTGAGATTAAAAATAATGCCTTACGTGCCCCAAATTTGACAAATGACTGAGAAAATATTCCACCAAGAGCAGCAGTTATTTGACCTTCCAAATAATTATTGTTTTTATAAACTGACCCTTTTAACTTCCTTTGTGCTACCACACTGGCAACTTTAAAAGAAGAGAATTATTATCTTTTGGTACTGGAGTTTATAGGGGAGATATAAATAAGGCTCTTTGAATATTGAAGTAGTGTCTGATTTATGTAAAATGTAGTTTTTCAATACAAGCTGCTTTTTATTTATATAACAGAACCAAATTTTGAAGCCAAAGCAGAAAGTTTATGCTAGCACAAAAATGACCAGGAAAGGGAAGAATAAGTAACAACAAGGAATTATAGATTAGACTTCATTAGAACATCTAAAGCTCCAATGTACTTTTCCGGAAACTGAGGCTCAGAGAGGTTAAATAACATGCTGAAATTGATACCAGGGTGTGGCAGAGTTGTAAGTGACTAGTTAATTGGCAAAACCTAAGATTTGAACCTAGGTCTACTTTTAAACACTACCCTATACTATGTCATCAGGAAAGTATACAATACTATTTTGTATATTATATTGTTATATTATTATATTTACTGTATATAATAATATTGTTGTTTTATGGTGCACCAAGAATCTATTTTCGAAGTCCATGTTTTATTCAGGAAGTGCCTGCTTCTGTTGCTTTAAAATTTCTTCCACCTAATCATCAAGCACATAGCCCCAAAAGTTACGTGAGATGAATTTGAGGAGTTTGTGCACATGTTTTGTATGGTAACATCAGTGCTGCCTTTAAGAAATCCAGATTTGTACTTTCCTTGTCGACTTTTGCTTTGAAATTAAATTATAGCAGCTACTATGGGTTGTTTAAACTGTGTTTCCTTAAACTTGAAATGACTTGCCTTTGGAGATTTCTCTTTCAAGCTAGATAGGAAATATGCATATTTTCTTTCAAAGACACTGAGGTTGTTACTGTAACATTTCATAGTAACATTTCATTTATTTTGGTAAACTGAAATATGAAAAATATCAGGCAAATTAAATCTGGATATAGTCTGCCTTTGTTCTGACAACAAAATTCGAACATATACTTGGCATTTGTTCACTAATTAAACTTACTAATTTAGAACTTTATGTGTAAGTATGAGTAAAGTTTTAGCATCATTAAATTATGTCAACTAAGAAGGGCAGTCGAATGGGAAAGAAGACCATTTGCCTGGAGTCAGCAAAGCCTGAGTCCAACCCACTCCCACTTACACCATGGTCCTGGGCAGTTTATCCATCTCTCTGAGTCTTTCCTGCTTCCATTTAAAAAGTCAAAGTCTTGGACTGACACATTCTCACAAGCCATTACAAATCTAAAACTAAAATTTTGTTAACTTATACTACATTTTAAATTTGCATTTAAATTGTAATTGTCCCAGAATGGGCAGTAATAATACATCCAGTTTTGTTATATAACAAAAAGAAGAATATCAGCACTCCTTTTTAGACATTTTTCTAATTGCTTTACTTGAAAAATGAGTAAACATTTTTGAGATCGAACCATTTTTAAAGAGTCAAGACCTATGATCAACTCGTAAAATAATATATCATACTCAGGCCAGTGCAGATGTCTCTCCTCTTTGTCTGTGGGCATTTATGCAGACTCACAGTGTACCTCCAGCACCATATTCTTGCCCAATGTCCAAGTGACATCTGAGACTGTATTTCTCCATGAGACAAATTCTACATCTTGTTCTTTCATTAACCTAGTTCACCAGTTTATCACCTTAAAATCCATCCATATTTTAGATAAATATAAATAAAGAACAAGAGGATTGAGAATGGCTTTCTATTTCTGTTTATGGACATAGTTCTTCCTTTTCATGTCAGAAATGTCCGATACATGCCTAGAGCTGACACCAAGTCAGGAAGAAAACACGTGCTCGATGCTGTATCAAACGCAGCCAACAGGATTCATGTTGATTGGAAGCAAGCACAGAACACAAGGATTTACAGTACTAGTTCTCAACCCATTTCCCATTAGTATATTGATAATGAATGACATTCTCTTCCAGAACACACTTCTGTAAGTGCTTATGTGCATTCCCTACACCTTTCATACTTTTCCTCTCAAGAAAGCCTATGGAAATGAAAGTGAGAATTACATTACTATAGCAAAACCCTCGATTGTGATCAGTTTTTAAAAGGACAAATCATTTATACATACTGATATGTAGTAAATCATTTGGGAAATGACGTTGACTTGTAACTTTGAGGTTGGTCATTGTCCTAGAGCTGTCAGAAAAGCTCCAAATGATTCTTCTGCTAATGCCCTTGAGCCTTTGAAACCTTCCAATATTTCCACACTAAAAATAACCTGAATTGCTCTGTCAGTGACAAGCAGCATCTGACATAAGCCTGGAAAGAGAGATATTTTGCCTGCCAGGACTTTCATGCACCCTGCACATATATCAGTTATCTATATTCTTTAAAGTAAGCAAGAATTACATGCACTCTAACCCTGACTTGACTTCAGATACTATGGTATGGTGGTATGGTGTAATCTTATACAATATCATCATTTTGGAAACAATTTTAATTTTTTTAATGAATACCAAAGTTTTGACATAAGTGATTTTAAAATGGATGGTAGAAGTGATAAAAGTAATGTTTTTTCAACATGAAAAACCAGATTGACTTTTACTTCCATATTTCTAGATATACTTATTCATCAAACTTAGATCCATTTTTTATTTAATTCTCATTATTAGAGCTTTGGAAAGGGAGAGAATCTGAGCATCCAATCACTTCTAACAGAAAAATATGGAAAAATTCAACATACATTAATTATAGATTGAAATATTTGTTTAATTGTGATTCACTTTGGCCTTTTCTAGGTTTTTTGGATTTTGCCTTGTACATAAAATTTGTGCTGCCTTTACTTTTATTAAAACCAAAAAAACCTCTCCTCATTTCAGAAAATGATATGCAATTATTTCCTTGTAAATGGAGCTACCACAGCTCAAATTAAAAACCAGCATTCATGAGGTGTTATTCTCCTGATCAGTTGTTAGCTGAAACTGAACTCAGTGGGATTTATGTGAACTTGAAAATTAATAAATCAGCATATTAGTTGTAAAATACAAGAAATAATTTCCTGTATTTGCCAGATGATCCATTTGGATTAGCGCCTGTAAAACTTCAACTACAGCTGTCCTCACTGAATTTTTAAATAATGAAATCATAATCCTTCTCCAAAGGAGTTTATTAAACTCTCCTTTGATTAATGCTGTTGCCTGCTGCTCCTGGGAAGTCAGATGTATAATCAATATTACAAGCACAACCCCCCATATTACTTGGAGAACTCCTGCTGCTAGATCACTTAATACAAATGTATCATCTAAATTCATGAACATGGTAATGCTGTTCAAATTTTTTAATCCAACAAAAACTGAAATCTATCAATCAGTCTGTCCATTTTGTACACCAAGATTGGAGTGACGTTAGCCATGCCCTAATTAAAATATCATCATAAGTAGAGAGAGAGAGAAAGAGAAGGTGGGGGAAATCTTTTTAAGCTTTTGAGTCAGTTAAACACAATGCTAGTACAATCTCAGAAATGGATTCCTGAATTTTCATTAAATCACCTGAGTATAATAGAAGTGAGTGTGGCAGGAAACATTTGTAAAATTTGTGTATCAGGAGAGTTTTAGAGATGCCTAAATGTAACAGGATCTATGAGGAGCAGTGCAGTTGTGATTCAAATTTATCAAAATTCCATGAAATAAACCCTGGCCTGTGTGGCTTGGTGGGTTGGAGCATCATCCAGTAGATGAAGGGGTCGTGGGTCTGATTCCGTCCCAGTAGGAGCAGGTACCTGGGTTGTGGGTTCCATCCTAGTTGGGGCACATGAAAGAATGTGGCCCATCAGTGTTTCTCTCTCTCATCTCTCTCTCTCCTCCCCCTTCTCTGTTTTCCTAAAAGCAATTTTTTAAAAATGTCCTTAAATGAGGATTAGAAAAAATTGCATGAAATAAGATGAAAAAGAATAGATAGTGAGCTTGTGGAGGGTTAAATAGGAGGTGATGGGGGTCTTGGTGGTTTCTGGCAAAACTTAGACAGCCCAGGTGGGGATTCTAACAGCAATAGTCTTGAGAGAAGTCAAGAGTGGAGGGACAAGGAGAAGGGAGCAAAATAGCAAAGGGAAAAGCACTAGGTGTGTATAACACAGATACATACACAGAAACAGAAGAGCATGGCGGTTAGGCCATAACTGCCTTGTTCAAATCCTCTCCCCACCCTCTAGCAGCTGTGTAACCTTGGGAAAGTTGCTTATTCTTTCTGCCTCTCAATTTCCTCATCTGAAAATAGTGATAGTGATAGTAATGTTGTTAGAGGGTTAATTAATACCTATAAGGAATTTGAGTAGGAATTGGCAAAAATTGGCAAATATTACCTTTAGTTTTTCTCCTTATCTATTTTGTTTGTTCTTTTTATGTTCTTTATTTTTAATTTTATTCCATTTATTACTCTGTCAGTTATTTGGAGGTAAGTGGCAACAAGGGAATGAACTACATATGTTCCCTGTTAAACCTCTTCTGTGCCCCCAAAACTGACTCTAAGAGATAGGGAACAAACCAGCCACTTCCTTGGAACCCATTTTAAAACTAAAGAGGAAAGAACACTTGAGACATGAGTTCTAGCTGGGACTCTTTCAGAGCTGAAAGCAGCGTTTGGATGAGTTGCATTTTTCATCTGCAAAAGTGAGGACATGGATTTAAAACCTGTTTACAACTCAAAAGATTATAGAAGTTGGTAAGAAATATAAATCAGTGAAGCAGTCTCCGTGCAATGTAACAGGGAGTAGCAGGGACTCTGGCACACTGAAAAGGACATGCTCGGACTAATGGGACCGGCTGCTAATTCTCGTCTACCAACACTAAGAATTCAGACTTGATAGTGCCCTTTTTTCCCAAAAGAAGCTAGGAATTTTTGTTTTATATGAAATGTTGGAATAAATTAATACATGATTTGGGCAAACAAAACATGACTGAAGACCAACTGGCCACCCATTTGTGAGCTTTGATCCAAGTGTCTTTGGAAAATTCTAGTTGTGACCTTCCATTATGGTTACAATGGGATACCCAAATATAACAGCTATTTCCAATCCAAACCAGATATTGTATGATCTGGTCATTCAGTTTTGCCTATAGAGGGACTTTTTGATCCACATAAGAATGTTCACTTGGCTATAAATGACACATACTGAAATTTCCTGAAGGAAACTGACTGAGATTACAATGTTACATACTGGAATTTCCAATTTAGATATTATTTTTTTATTATTATTATTATTATTATTATGTAAGATGCATATATATGTACATCTTCTGATATCATCTAAAATGTGAAACAAATAAAAGGAAATGATTCTTCAGTTCTTATTTGATTCATTTACCATCGTTTAATTAAAAGCAACTATACTGTTCAGCCTGCAAGAATGCAACTGTGAAATGTTAGCTTGGGTCTGACCCCGATTTAAAATCCTCAGAGTTTATAAATAGAAATTAGAATGCTTGTTTCGGAAATAGGTTTCTGAATATTTCTCTTTTTGTAAACTTTTCTTATTTTTTACTTTTTAAAAGAAACTTTCTTATTTCTATTTGAGAAGTACTTAAATGTGTGCAGTGCTACAGAAAGCTGAACAGAGAAATAACATTCTTTCTCTAGAGCTGGAAAGACAGAAAGGCTGCCACCCAACCACATATTTTGTGCTTCTGAAATTATTTATACCCCTGCAATCTTCTTTGACAAAGATGTAACTGCTTCAATAATATAAAAGCAGCAAGGAGACATTTGGCACACAAATCTTTTCAATGCATTCATTTAAAAGATAAAGAAAACTGCTTTCGAGTAGTAGAAAGTTTCCCCTAAGTGGTAGCCAATCCTAGAGATCAGGTTGGACACATCTTAACAGCATGAGCATCTCCTTTCTTTTACTTGCAAAATCAAGAATCTTTACTCCTATTAAAAAGTAATGAAAAAATCATCTTGAAAGCCTGCAGATCTGAATTTAAGAATAAAATAGAAGAAGCTTTTCCCAGAATTTTTTTTAATTAGGTAGGTGCACAAATAATGGGCAGTTGCAAAGTGAGATAAGGAAAACCACTACTAAAAGAAAATAATAAAAGATACTCAAAGAGTGACAGAATGAGAAATTACAATTTATAAAGGTACACTTTATAGAATTTATACCATGGCAGGAATTAATGTCAACTTCTGTGTAAAGATTAATGTGAATTTACCAAAGCACTTTGAATTAACATAATTATATCATATGGTCTTAATGAAAGCTTTACCAAAAGAAAATCATTGCTCAGTGCAAACAGGTACCTTTGAAAATACGCTTGTGGATTTCTTTTACTGTAACAAGAGCAGATGTTTCGACTGATATTTCTCAACTAATACTATACATAGACTCTCCAAATAGATGTGTGATCACCTTCCTTCAGAAAAGAAAAAAATCTCAAAAAATGGCTATAATTCCTTTGATATCCCTCATAATGACTTTTACAATTTTTATTTAGAACAGTATTTTTGCCATATGGTTCCCTAAATCTAAAAAAGCAAAACAAAACAAAAACAAAACCCAAAACCAAAATCCAAAAAGAACAAAACACACACACACACACACACACACACACACACCTCATTTTCAACAGAGAAATCTGAGCTCTTACTGGTGATAGGGGTTAACATCAAAGTCTCTACAATTTTTATGGGATAGAAGTTTTTCAAATCAAATTTGTACAGAACTGCTGTTTGAACTAATGTATGGCCTTTATTCTGCCATTTCATTTTACGTGTGTTTGTGACAGAGTGTTTATAATTCTATAGTGTCAAAGCTGAAAATATTTTGTTCCTCACATACAGTACAACCTTAAAGTGCTCCTATTGCAAAAAAAAACAAGTGAAAAAGGTCACTGAGCATGGTAACAGCACTGAGACCTTCAGAGACTTTTCCTTTTCATTTCAGTCCTGTCTTAAAAGTCAACCCATGCCTTTAAATATCATGATTTATAGCGTATTCCTTATACAATCATGGAAATGTAGTTTTCTGGTTGGAACAACAAAAAACAACTCAAGTAATTTAGACTGTTTCTGCCTGCAAAAGGTAAAAAAATAAAATAAAATAATAAGTGATTTTTTAAAATGAATGCCTTAAGTGCCAAGGACTGTGCTAAATATTTTATATGTAATATTCCAATTAAAATTAATCTTAAAAAGTCTCTGAGCTAAATATTTTTATTATACCCACATTAGAAATGAGGGAACTGGAGCTTAGGGACGTGTAAAACAACTTGCCTAAAGGTAAATAAACATAATGTTTTTGAAGGCAAAAAGCAATGGCAGCAGCAGCAACAACAACAATAACAAAAGCCAGTTCTGATTCCTAGTCCGTTCACTACATAATCATGGTAGATAGCAAGCTATTTAAGTCAAGCAATTTAACTTCTCCAAAAGTGTCCTAGTCTAAATCCAAGGGTACAGATCTTTGCTTGTCTTGCTTGATTTGTCACTTCTTGCGGGTAAAGAGTTGATGAGAATTGACCCAAGTGTAGAAATACAGAAAGATCATCTTTTTATCTTGTGTTTTTTATTACTACCACAGCACTTCATTGCCAAAACAAGGTGGAAAGAAGTAACACCTGACATATTTAGGTACAATGTTTTGATAAACATAACTCATTAGCATTGTGGTTTATTATTTCCATTTTTGTTCATACAGAACCCAGTGCCGCTCCCACAGATGTCAAGGCTACAAGTGTGTCCATGTCAGAGATTCTTGTTGCGTGGAAACATACTAAGGAGAGTCTAGGAAGACCACAGGGATTTGAGGTATGAACATAATATTGAAAATAAGCCTTGTTATTTCTGCTAGCATCTCATTCTCCTAAAGAGAAGGTTTGGTGATATTTTAAAAGACTTATATTCCTTTCAAATTTTGTTCTGTGGCAAAGAGAATAAGTGTACCCTTATACTGACATGTATCATGTTGCTCATTAGCTGGCTTACTTTTCCGTATAATAGTTTCTATAGCACCACGCAAAGTTTTTTGTAAGAGGTGAAAATAGATCTATTTCAAGAACTACAGGTGGCTATTTAGTGTTATCCAATTCATTAGTTCTTTAAAATATTTTGTGTATTTTCCTCTAATAATTAATGTATAAAACAAGTTTTTCTACTATATTGTCCTTGGCAAATCTTACCTCCTATACTAACTTCTTAAATTTGCTTGGAACTTAGTGATCTGTACCTATTTATTCAAATGACTTCTCATTCTTTAAATTGTGTTACTTTTAATCACATGTATGCAGCCTTATAATGGTGAAAATTTTATAACAATTCATTGACTTTAGTGAAATGTTAGCCTCCAGGACTGTGGGCAGTGTGTGAACTTGAATATTGCACAAAAACAAGATCACTGCTCCTCACACACCCTTCTTCTTACCTTTATCAGTCATTGATAGGAACAGGAAGGGGTTGTGGTGCAACTAATAAAGGATAAAAAGGAATTAGCATGCAACCTAAGATCATAATTGCCCTTAAACCCTTTAATTCTTTCTCTCTATCAATTCCCACTAACAGAAAATTATCTTGATTTTCAAAAAATGATAAAGTATATAACTTGTACACTAATATTGTTTCTAGGCTAGAAATGCATTTCCTTATTCTTGAGTTTTTAAATAATGCCTAAGAACTATTTGATTAATATACAGCTGGCATTTTCATGATTACTGTGATTATACAATATTTCTAAGAATTATAGCCAGGACCATTTTTAAGGAACAATTATCTATACAAAGTAATGGATTTATCTCTACAGTCTTACTTCAATCCATTATCTGGTGGTAGATAATTCAGTATTATCTTAGCATGAGTGCATGTTTATTTTATTAAAATCCCTTATTTTCCTGCCCATGCTGCAGAGAACATGTCTGTTCACCAATGAACCCAGGACTGGTAGTACTTGGCCCATGGCACCAATAATAAATATTTGTTGAATGAATGACTATCTATGCTTCACAATCATCCTCTTTTAATACCAATGTAGAAGATACTGGAGTGGCCTTCCCACCTACCATTTCCTGGGCCAATGCACCATTCCCCAGCTGCTATGACTGTTGGTCATTAATGGTCCTTGGCTTCCCCTTTGGAAAATAGCCCTCCACTGAGGTGTGCTGCCTACCTGGAAAGTTACTTCCCACACCAACAGGCAACCCATTGACTGACTCTGACTGATAGTCCCTTCCTCAAGGAGGAAACAAATTTATGATGCAGTTTATGATTCGGAGCCTTTTCCAAGTGCATCAGACCAAAACTAGATTACCTGAGTCCACACTTTTACTCAGTTTCCTCTTCTTCCCTTACTCTCCTTTCCACCCTTCCTTACATATTTACCTGCAAGCATTCTCTCAATAAATCAACTGCATTCAAATCCCGGTCTGAAGTTCTGCTTCTAAGGAACCCAACCTAAAACAACCCTGTAAATATAGATCCACCTAGAACTCTAAATCAGAACATCCAGTGTGTGCATTTTTCGAAAGTCACAGAGAGTATTCTGGTGTACAGAAGAATGAGAATCCAGGCTCCTACGTCTCAAACTGGTGCTGCTCTCACACAGGCAGTCTCCCTCAGCCTTTCTTCTGCCTGCTCTAACAGCATGACAGTCACATTCCTACAGTGATTTACCTGTAACGACAGCTTTCTGTGAGGTCCTACAGAGATCATGTAAGATTCAGATTTGTGCACAATTCTTCTCTTCCTAAACATAAGTCACTCATTTATCAATATTTATCAATTCAACAAATATTTATTGAAGGTCTACTAAGTACCAGACCTAGATGCTAGGGATAAAACAATTAGCACAAAAAAAAAAAAGTCTCTTTGCTTGTGAAGCTTATATTGTAGTAGGGAAGGCAAACAATAAACAAACTACCAAAAAAATGTGTTATATACTATTAATTGATGACAAGTTCTTTATGGAAATATAAAACTGGGCAAGAAGGTAGAGAGTGAAAGAGTCTGCCATTTATGCTATTTATAGAGGTTTGAGAAGTCACCTTTTCTGAGGTTTTGACATTTGAGTAGAAACATAAGAAAGAGAAGCAGAGAAAGGAGCAAACTCAAAGACTCTGAGGTAAGAGCGTGCTGGCCTTGCTCAAAGAAAAGGATGGGAGAGATTTTTGTGAGATAGCAGCAAACAGTGAGGGTGAAAGTAGAAAGATGGAAAAATCACCAGGACAAAACCAGGTTACAATGAGTCTTGTGAACTGCAAAAGGAGTTGGATTTTATCTTAAGTATGAGGAGAGGCCATGAAAGGATTTTTAAACGGAAGAATCGAGGCAGGATCTGACATTTTAAAGCCTCTCTTTGGTATAGAGGGTAGAGAATAGACTTTAGAGAAGACCTCAGGAAGAACAGTGGAGAGGCAGTTGGTCCAACCTAGGTAATAATGAGGTTACTTTTGACTAAACTGTGACAGTAGATTTGGTAAAAATGGGCTTTTTAACATGTATTTTCAATTGGAGATATAACAGGATTTGCTAATAAATTGGAGGTACAGTGTGAAAAGGAGAGGAGTCAAAAATAATTCCAGAGATTTTTGACTCAAGAAAGTGGGTGAATAACATTCACATAGATGAGAAAGTCAGAGGAAAGCACTTTTTAGAGATAAAAGGTCTCGTTTCTGGTTTAGATGTGTTAAACTTTATAAGCCTTTTTATTTCTGAAAGGATTGTCAAGTAAGTTTTGTGTTAAGAAAAAGGTTAGAGATAGAGCTGTAACTCTAAAGAATCATCGGTATGTAAATGGTTTTTATGCATGTGCTAGCTGAGGTTACTGCATGTTGATAAAGATGTCTGAGCACTGAGCCCTCCGGTGACTCACCATCTGGACCTCAAGAAAGGAGAGGATCTGCCCAAAGAAAGTGAGGGAGACACTGAAGAAATTCAGAAGCCAAAAGAAGGATTTTAAGATGGAGTGATCTTCTGAGTCAAATGCTGCTAAGAAATTCAGGAAGACGAGCCCTACGCCCAGTGGGTGTGGCAGTACTGAGTCCCTGCTGGCCCTGGGTGAGAGGGCTTTCCTGGAACTCTCGTGACAGAGGCTAGACCCGAGATCAGGATCGAGACCACTCAGGCGTGACGCTTAAGAGTGTCAGAGCACAATGTTCTTGTTAAGTCTCTTTCATTCAAATTGACAAATTATCACAAGCAAAAATGGAATAATTTTAAGGGTCAAACATTAGGAATGAGTCAAATTCTAGGACAATCTTCACAATGACCACATTTCTTAAATTAAAATAAATCAACTCAAATTCTGACAACTGTTTTTACATATTGAATCAATGCAAGATCCAAGGACAAGTAACATTTATGCTATTTTATAGCACATTATAAATTATAGTTTTAAAAATATGACATCTTGTTACCAAAAAATTCAATATCTTAATGAAAAATTTGAATGTATAGTTTCATAATCAGAAAATAATTTAAACTTTATATAATTCTGTGGCCAGCTGTGACATTAACTATTATTTTAAGTAAAACATAGTCATCAAAGACTATTCTTGATTAAGACTATTTCATAACCGTATAGTTGCATGTAGATGTAAAAATAATTGTGATGTGAATAAAACTTGTAGCATCACTCCCACCTTCTATTTTCTGCATTCTTCTTCCCTTTAAGGAGAGCTCTATCCATGCCCTTCACCTTATCCACCCTGGAGCTTCCTGCTTTCATCTTCTCATCTTTTTTCTTTTTTCTGTTTTCTTTTCACTTAGTAATGATCTCCTCAACTGAATGTCATTACAACAAAATAGAGTGACTCCCTAACGCTTAATATTTCATCTTACCACTATCTTCCTCCTCTAATCTACCCCAATCACAATATTAACTATATTTACTAACGGGAGAATTCTGAACATGGTAACAATAAAACAAGTATTTTTTTTGTCACCAAAGGACTTGTTAATGGGTAAATTAAATGTCCAATGAGTTTGGTTTCAAATTTTATGTATTTATATATATGTCCTGCAAGTCCCTTTTCTAGCCATTCTTGCAGCTTTACCTGTAATGTCTGAAAGAGCTAGTTACTATAAAGGTACTGTGTGCCATTTTGAGAGGCGTGGAGATGGTGTTTGGGGCCACCTCTCTTTTTTTTCTTCCTGAATTAAAATGTGTGAATAAGACAGAAAAGATTCTACTCTTATAAATATTGTACTTTAATGGGGAAAACAAAAAAATAAACAAGTAAACAAGTGATTAAAATAAACTTAGGTAAGAAGACATATAGAAGTTCAAAGGTAGAACACACTTGGTTCCTTTAAGAAACAGAAAGAAGTGGAGCAACTGACCCTTGGTGAGCAATGCTGTGAATGGGATCAAAAGTAGTCAGAGTTAAGTGGACAGAGACAAGATTATGTAGGAATATGTAGATTGTGAAAAGAATTTGTATTTTATCTCCAATGCAATGAAAAGCCATCGGGGCAAATATAGGAGAAGAGTGACAATGTCTGAATTACATTTTTTTTTAAATATCTATCTGGCTGCTCTTAGCAAAGAAAAAGGAAGAGGGGAGAAAGGTCAGGAGTGGAAGTTAGGAGGTTATTGCAATATTCCAAGCAAGAAATAACGGTGACTTAGACTACGTCCTAACAGTGGGACAGCAGAAAAGTGGACATAATTTACAGGCAGATCAGCAGGATTTGCTGACTGATCAAATGTGGACAAAAAGGAAACAATTCCTCCATTAGTGAGTTGGACAAATGAGTGAATTGTGGTATCATATACCAAAAATATTAGGAAAGAGCGGGGCAAAGAAAAGTTTTGAAGT